GATTTCCTCATATATACTAGACTCAAGAGTAGTAGAGAAATACTCTGAGAGAGAAACAGGATTTTTAAATGGGCAGAGCTTGAAATCCAATGGGCTTGCACATGATTTTTAGAGAGCATAAGCAAACTTAAAACAAGCCTGGAAGCAGGAGTGGCATCCAATTCTGAAATGGCTTGCCTCCGGAAACTCTACGAACAGTGCTCAGGTCTTTGGTTCATAGGGTCACTATGAGTTGTCCACGACTCAACAGGACCTAACAACGACTACAACAACAATCAAACTTTGACCATTTCATGACTATGTTCTTATAGGATTTGTGCAAACCTGGTTCCTCTAAGGTTGGGATTAAAGATGTCTCAAACGTCCAATTATACCCAAAGTCATTATTTTTGCTTGCCCCATCCTTATTAAGCAAGCTGTAATTGTTAACAACGTCAATCTCTTCTCCATCCATCATGGTGATGCCAATTGGCCCAGTGGTTAGAATCTTTGTCTTCTTGATGTTGAGTTTCAATCAATATTGAAGACTACAGTCCTTGACCTTCTGCAGTACACATTTCAGGTCCTCCTCAGTTGTGATTTGGAAAAGTAGAGGTTTAGTGAAAGAGAAGGCTCTCAACAAGATGGATGGACATCTTTCTATAATAATGGGCACAGCAGAGACTGTGAGGATGGCCCAGAGGTTTGGCCTGTTGCATATTCTGTTGTACAGGGACGCTGTGAGTTGGAGCTGACTCATACCACCTGACAACCTAAAAAGAGCAGACTGGTATTCAAGCATTGACATGTACATTATTTTATGACACCGACTACAATCCTCTTTTTAAAAATTATTAATTTTAATATACATTTACAGAGGTTTTGGATTTCCATTCATTCATTGCTGCACTTTTCTCCCTGCCCACCCCTCCCCACCAGTTCGCTTCCTCCTCCAAGAGAAAAATAAAAAAAATAAAAATTCCTTCATTAGTATACAATTCCCACGTCCCTTAACCCCCACCTCCCACCCCGAGTACACTTCTCTATGCAACCTTAATTCTGGATTCCTGTGCTAACCATAATACTCAATCATATATCACCTCTAATCTGTTCTTTCCCTCATCTGTTTCAATATACATAATTTATCCAGTTTTTTGTCATACCCCCACCCTGATGGCAGACCCATTCTACAACAGTGACACTGACTACAATCCTCTTAATGCATCACTCTTCACTGTCTCTGGTTCCTATTGCCATTCATCTCTCCCTCCTTTCCCAAATATCCTATTTTGAGTTGTATCCTTGGACAAATGATGCCCTTGCCAGCCTGTGCTTGAGCATGAGTTCTTTCGCAGACAGACACTGTGCTTGGTACATTGGACAAATTTAAGTCTTTTGCTTTTTGGGTTCTCTTTAAATTATGTACCTTGTAGCTGAAAACAAAAATGCAATAATTTACAGCTGTAGAGACACACCAACCCTGCCCTTTTTTAGAAGGAAAGTAAGCCAGTCATAATTTTCAGGCCTGTTATCTGAGGTTTACAGTAACTTGATACCAAGCTAGCTACCTGCAGTTTTGGTCAGAAAAGCATTGAAGAGAGCTGTGAGTTCTAGGTCTTTTGAATATCTCTGAATTTCAAAGCCAGGTTAGAATGGATATTGGTTCATCATGGGCTTTTGTGAATCTGTGCATCTTCCGCTCTCCATAAGGAATAACTGAAGATTTAATACGTAGTGACATTCTAGAGGATGAAGGAAAGGGGTAGTCATCAAAGGCCTTCTGAACTTCTGCTTTGCATTTTGACTCTTGCTGTTTTCCTTCCTCTTTATTTGTAATCCAGGAGGCTCTCTGCAGAGAGAGTGCAGCTTCTTAGATGGACCAAAAGGCAGAACACTGGGATACCAGGATCTATGAAAAGGTCTGCTATTGAATTGACTCTGCTACCTTTTAATCGGATTATTTGAAAACACTGCTTTGGGGTCTTTTCTGTGCTTGCTAAGCAGAAACAATGTGTTTGAGTTGTTTTATAAATAGTGGTTTATTATAGAGTATTTAAAATGTGTGGATGATCTACTGTTTAAGGCTGACAGCTCAGGCATAAAGTGAAACTAAGCTTACTTAAGATGCTTCTTGACCCCCAAACACTTCTGACCCCAAACTCTTCAGGCTACACCAGTATCTGTTGCTTCTTTTTCATCTAATACACTCTGCAGTTTATGAGAGCAGTACTGTGTGTGTGTGTGTGTGTGTGTGTGGTGAGCCATGTTTTTTTTCTCCATAAGTGAAATATGCTATTTTATGTGCTCTTGCTGTTTCCATTCCCCAGGCAGAAAAGGTGAAGGTTTTCTTTGGGTGCTGATTGAGATAAGAGATGTGACATAATGAACTAAGTATCTGAATTTGCTACTACATAGTAGGAGGAGGCTGCCTATATCTCTCCCACAGAGCTGCTGGTGGAGTTGACCTGGAGACATTTAGGTTTTGTTAGTACCACAATATGCTAGGGACTAAGCCAGCAGAGCTCTTTTATTATAAAGTGGTGTCACTAGGGAGGTGTGTGGGATGCAGACGCCGCCAGATGACACCAAAGTGCTGGTACAAATTTTGTAGTGTTTCAGCAGGTACTTGTAACTTGTTTTTATAAGACTAGCCCTGTAGTTATAACAACAACAAAAATGTTTTCATAAACTGAGCTTATGTGTATCAAGAGACCTATCAGGCTAAAACAATGCTAACTTACTTTTTGAACCTTCTAAAGTGCTCTGGTCACAGCTATTACTGTTATCATGATGATGTTAATCAACGTGGCTTTATCTGTACACACTTTAAGCATGGGCTGCTGTTTCGTTGCTGCTGATGTTTTAGCTACTATTGCTATAATTAGAATTGTGAAATGGCATCAGTCACCTTTTTGAGAATGAAATACTAAGGGAAAAGGATAAAAGAATTCTTTATTAGTACTTAAATAATCATTATCTTTTCACATAGATTGGGCATGTTGCCCTGAGGGACTAGACAATGTAGGAGAGGGAGACCCCTGATGAGATGGACTGACACAGTGACTGGGGTAACAGGTGTGGGTGTGTCAGAAACAGACTGGCTCAGGACAGGGCAGGGTTTGGAGTGTTGCTATGAGCTGCAATCAACTTGATAGCACATAAGAACATTTTAAAATGTGTGACTGTATTTCATCTTATTCTAGGGTTAAAATTGAGACTAAACATTACTAAGGATTGCTCAGGAGGAAGTTCATGGGGGAACTGACACTAATCCTAGCCAGGACCTGCTACTACAGTTCTTTTTTGATGCTTTGGGCCAGGCTTACTGTTCTAGTTAAGTGCCATCGAGTTGCGGATGACTCATAGTGACCCTATGAACACCTCTGAATCGTGTCCTATCCTGTGCCATCCTCACCATCTCTGACACACTCAAGCTCATTGCTGCAGTGACTGTGTTAATCCACCTGAAGTCTTCCTCTCCTTCGCCACTGCCTCAGTCTACCTTACCAAGCATGATGTTCCTCTCTAAACAACAGCCTTGGATTACTAGGGCTTAGAATTAAATTTAGTAAGATAAACACTCTTTTCGTTTTTGTAGCCAAGGAGAGGTTCTGCAGGGAGAGACCCTTTCTTACCCACCCTGTGTCAGAGCTCCTGTTACATTAAGGAATGTGGTTACACAGTGCCTAGTACTGCTGCACTGTTAACCAAAAGTTGGCTGTCAAATCCACCAGCTGTCTTGATGGTCTCCTCTCATACATTACAGCCTTGGGAACAACGAAGGGTTGCTGTGAGTGAGAACCCACTCGAGGGTTTGTGGTGTGTCAAATTAGGCTACTGAGACGTGTTGGTGAAATGCACCAAGCTGAGATCCGCAGAAGCTGATAAAAACATCTGAGTAAGGAACGATGCTGTTTCTCGGTGACCTTACCTTGCAGAAATAAAACATATGCAATATGGAATGCATTGACAGGGTTTATCTTTCTGTTTGCTCTGAACTAAAAATGTTATTTACAGTCTTCTGGCTCAGCTAAAGGAAAAGCATTTTCTAAACCAAGCCCCCCTTCCTCCCCCTCCCGTCCTCCAGGTATTATGAATGTTAGAGGACTCAGGAAATAACGTTGTAGCAGGAACAACTCTAGACAGAAGAATACAATGTAAGAGTTCAGAGAGGTTACTAGGTCGTCTCATGCTATAAAGGATCAAAGAAATATCCCGGCAAACACTGCTCCCAGAGCAGAGAGTTCGCCTGTTGGAGCCAGCTTCGGTCTAGGCATTCAAAGAAAGAACAGCCAGATACTCTAATTTGAGGTCTCCGTCCTTGGGCAGTTAACAATACATCAAAACATTACCTGCAGGTGCCCCAGCTGCAGGAGGTTTTAACAAAAGCAGAGCTTTCCCCGGAAGCCTCTTTAGACCCTGAGCAGCTCGGGAGGGACTGAGGCTGCCCGTTGTATTCTGTGCCCTTGGGTTCCCGTCGGCTTTGCAGCTCCTGCGAAGCACTCTGAGTGCCCTTAAGGTGGGATTCTCGTTCGTCAGCTCGTTAGCTTTTCCATAATATAAAAAGACTGGCACTGTTTGCCCCTGAGAGGACTTAGGTTTGAATGTTTAGAATCGCGATGAGACCCAACCCGGAGCCATCCGCTCAACAAGGTGCAAGTCCTTTCTGAAGGTAGAATGAAGAGCCCAGTGGTGACGACTAAAGAGAAAGTCCTACCAACTACCTGAGATGGTGAGGAGGCTTCAGTTACCGCATATGAGCAAGAGTCTCTTAAAAATTTTAAGCCCTCTCCGCCATTACCTGGAAAGACGGCGAGACCGGACGCGTGCACGCGCGCCGAGAGCACGCACACACCCTTTGTCCCGCCCACCAGCCGGCTCGCTGATTGGATGGCACGCGCCCCGCAGAGGACGCGACTCTGCCGCCCGTGCGTGCTCCGGATGGAAACAGGTGCCGCGAGCGTCGGCGTTCCGCGTGCGGAAAAGAAGGAGGCGGTGGGAAGGCTGAGCGCTGGCCGCTCCTCCCCGTCCCCCCCGCCTCGGCCCTGGAGGGGCTGGATGGGCAAGTTGAGCACGATGGCTCGAGCCCCAGTGGCGGCGGCAGCGGTGGCCGGAGGCGGCGGCGCCTCTTCCTCCTCGCCCCGGCGCCGGCGGTGATCGGAGTGAGCGGCCGCGGCCCCCGATGAGACTGTTCGTGGGCTGGCTGTGCCTGAGCCTGGCGTCCGTGTGGCTGGCGCGGAGGATGTGGACGCTGCGGAGTCCGCTCACCCGCTCCCTGTACGTGAACATGACGAGCGGCCCGGGCGGGCCAGCGGCAGCCGCGGGCGGCAGGAAGGAGAACCACCAGGTACGGGGGCGCTGGCCGGGGTCGGGATCGGGGCGGGGGCGTGGCGGCGGGGCCTTCCCGCGCTCGGCCCGGCCATTGTGCTGAGGCGGCGCGGCGAGAGGGCGGCCGGGCCCCAGTCCTACTGCTCCGGCCCCTCGGAAAGTTTTCCCCGCCGGATCGGGTTCCGCGGCGGCGCCTTTTGTTCCTCCGCGCGGGCGAAGGACGCCTTTCGCGTCTCCTGTCTCCCCAGGCCCGAGCGTGCGCGCCCGGGAGCCGCGCATTGTTCCCGGGTCGCCGGCGGCGGTCGTCGCGGAAGCTCGGGCCCCCCTGGGCGTCTGCTCCGGGCCCGCGGGGAACTTCGGGGGCGCCCATCTGACACCGGGACCCGAGATTTCCACGACCAGACTGAACCCCCGAGCAGCCACACGAAGAGCCAGTACTCCTTTTTGTCTGATTCAAATCTCTGAATATACAAAGGGTCGCGCATCGCGAACCGTTTAACTCTGGAATTCTGATGACATTTTCCCATAAGCACTTAAAATGTGTTTGCATCAACTTCCATTCAGGCATTTGATCAGAAGGATGCTTAAAGAGAAAGTTAATGCAAGGTACTGCGGGAGGGTTTTAAAACCAGATCCGAGCAGAGATGAATTCTTCTAAGAGTTGTTGTGCATGGTGAGCGATGCGATGTGATCGGTTACCGTCGTTTTATTAGCTCCAGTTTTGTGCTATTCAAGAGAAATACATGCTGGTTAGCGGTCAGAAAAGAATGACACGGTCTGTGTTTGATCATATTGTAAGTCTGCATTTAGCAATTGGCATTCATTTAAGAGTCTCTTGGACTCTTCTATTCATTTAAGAGCCTTTTTGGAGTTAAAAAAAAAAGTCGAGCTCGCATTTAGCTTTCATTTAGAGAACATTTTACCTTTTGTGAGAGCAATAGCTAATCATTTCTCATTTCATTTTAGTATGGGTTCATTATTCCTCATCTCATCTTATTATGTATGGGCAATTTCACAGATTTGTTTTTTTGTGTGTTTCTTTTCTTAATGCAGGTGTGCAGAGACTTTACCCAGGTTGATTTCTTGTGTTTTAATTAAAAGAAAGAATTATTCAGGAACGAGACAAAGCAGTTCATTTGGAAAATACTGTTTCAGAAAAGACAGTTTTGACTAAGCAAACATTTGTAGTGTTCTTTTTTTTTTCTAGAGCCACACGACAGTTTGCTTTTGTAAAGATTTACCACCTTAGAAATGCTAGAAAGTAGTTCTTTTATGTCCTGTGGGTCATTATGAGTCAGAATCAGCTTGATGGCAGAAGGGGGTTGGTACTGTTTCCAATTTTTATCCAGTCTTAAGCTGTGAAACCACATGGATGGCTGTAAATTTATTACTTTATTCTGTTTCCTTTTTAAAAATTTTTATACTGATTTATTTACAAAGTTTGAATACATTGTTTTTCACACAGGATCTTTCCCATTTCCTTCACACACCACCCCCCCCCATCAATTGTACAACCTTCCCACCCTTTTGCTTCCCCATCTCGCCTCCCTTGGAACCTCATACTCATTCCTCAATAATGGTTTTATACAGTATTTGTCCTTGTGAGACTGGATTAGTTCACTCAGCATAATGCTCTCCAGTCCTTCCCAAGTTAGGTAGTAATTTACAAAATCATTACTCCTGCGTGCTGCATAGTGTTCCATTGTGTGAATATATTGGGATTTTTCAATCCATTAGATTGTGGTTGGATCTTGCATTCTTGTGAATAACGGTGCTATGAACGTTGGTGTACATTTGTGCCTCAGTTCTTATTTTCTTGGGGTATATTCCAAGCGGTGGAATAGCTGGGTCATATAGAATTTCTGTGTTCTGCTTTCTTTTTTTAAATGTTGGCCAATCAGAGCAACACTTTTTTTAAAAAAATTTTAATTTTTTTGTGTGGGTGCGCGCGCGTGTACCGTCAAATCAGATCTGACTGGTACAGGAGGAGATTGTCCCTCCTTCCTCGGCAGAGCATCTGGTGGATTGGAACCGTGCGCCTCTGGGATTGTAGTTGCAGTTCCTTGCCACTAGGCCACCAGAGCTCCCCCTGTGTTCTGCTTTTTGAGGAAGCACCAAACTGCCTTCCCGAGGGGTTGTACCATTTTACAATCCCACAAACAATGTATAAGAGTTCCTATCTCACCACATCCTCTCCAACATTTATTATTACTTGCTGTCCTGTTAAACTTTGCCACTGTTACTGGAATGAGATGGTATGTCATTGTGGTTTTGATTTGCATCTCTCATTGCCAGTGATTTTGAGCATTTCTTCATGTGAAGTTGGCCGTTTGAATGTCTTCTGTGAAAATTCTTTCTATGTCTTTTGCCCATTTACTTTAAAGTAATCCAGTTACTTTAGTTTATTCTTATCAGCAAGAAAATTACTGTACTGATAATTATTCCGTCAAGTGTTACATATTTGTATGAAATATATATAATTGTGTAGAATGTTAAATCAGAAATGTAAAATAGAAAGATGATCCTGTATGGAAGGGAGGAAAAGTCTTATCTTGAAATTGTCTCTCTTATTTCTAAGTGTTTATTAAAGTACTTGCTCTGTTTATATCTACTTAGCGATGCTTTCAGGGGTCAGTTAAAGTTTGAACAACTCTTAAAAGCAGTTTGACTTGGAGAGAAGTATGGCTGTGACCTCAGAATGTCTCCTAACAAAAGACAAGTTCTTATTGTGTACCTTCTTGAAGTTGTCTGTCAGGGTTGTTTTTTGTTTTGTTTTGTTTTTTTTAAAAAAAACTAATGAAGAAGCTGCACTGCAATCTCAGAGGTACACGGTTCGAATCCACCAGATGCTGTGCTGGAGAAGGAGGAACAATCTCCTCCTTTATCAGTCAGATCTGATTTGACGGTACACACAAAAAATAAATAAAATTAAAAAAAAAACACAAACAAACCAAAAAAACTAATGTTGGCTTGAGATACAAGTTTCTGAGTTGTATGATTATGTCAGCAAATTATATTAATGATATAACATGTCTCCTTGTATGTGAGTTGAGTGAACGTTTACATGGCAGATTGGCTTTCTAGTATAAAATTTATATAGATTTGGTTTAAGGAGGTGAATTACTATGCTTGCAATGTAACTGCACTCTCTTCACTTCCTCCGTGTGATTCTTGTTTCCATCATTCCTTCTGTCCTACTCTTCCTTCTTTGGCAAGTGCTACTTTTGAAAAAAAAAAGCTTTTGTGGTTTATATATTCTAAGGAGTGAATGCTTCTCTGATATTATTGTTCACCTTTTAGGAAAATTGACTCTTCAGTTTCAAATAATGAGCCCAGGCATGACTTTGAGATGAACTTTATGGAAGTTAATTGTTCAGAATAAAGATTAAAATGAATAAAGGAAAAGCATAGGTAGAAACCACAGTTCGATAAAATAGGAGCTGGTCTTCTCTAAGTAGGATTTCTTGTTTGCTTTATAGTCTGAGATCCTGGATTTGCTTTAAGACTTTGCTGCTTGTGAGTTCACTTTACTCTGACTTTTTTTTTACTTCCATCAAATTAATAGTTTATATAAGAGTTTCTGGTGTTCATCTGTCTGTGTGGATTCCATAGCAGGCCACATCTGGTTCCTTAGCAGCTACATGAAAGTAGGATTATGGATTTGATTGAACCATACTAAGTCCAAGTTTTCCTTCTGGTTATTTTATTTGGGAATTGTGGTAGAGGAGCCTGTGATTATAAGGGAAATTTAGGGCAATGTTTAGGCATTAAAACTTGCTACTTAGTTGCTGTAGCCTGGAGCTATAAGGCTCTTTGGGGTATACCAAAACCAGATTAATTGCCATTGAGTGAATTCTTCCCACCCTCAGCATGTTATTTATTAACCATGTCTTTATTGTGTTCAAGTTTTATGCTAGTCACTGAGCTAGGTGAATAAACAGGTATGGCCCATATTCTTCAAAAGTTTTCACTCTATAGATAATTTTAAAAGTACATATACATAAAATGTATAATTAAAAACTCTAAAGAGGTGAATATGAATAGTAGGGTAGAGTTAGTTAAAAAGCGGAGTGAGATTTTGATTCAGCAAGTGGTGACGAGAGGCCTAGAAAGAGCCCTCTGAGAAGGTGACATGTGGTCTGGAGAATTAGTTGGCCTCAATATCAGGTCAGTGTGGAGCACAAAATTGTCGGATGCCTTCCATTTCCCCTCCAGATCCACTTTGCGCTCTTCTTGCTCTTCTCTCTGCTCTCTGAGGATACTCACCTGAATGGGTACTTCAGAGGATCTTAATTGAGAGAGGATGCACCCTTAGGGGATGGTATTTTTTTCATTTTCTTGAAGATAGCTGGTCATTGAAGCTTATAGGGGTAGAGGTTAGGATGTCATACCCTCCAATGTATGGGATAGCCACCACTACAAAGAATCATCCAGCCACAGTAGTTAGAGTGTCAAGGAAAGAAACCCTATTACATAGCTAAGCAAGATCCCTGGGTTAGCCAAGGGGAGGGAGGGAGTAGAGGACCATCAGGACTCTTATTCTTTCTTTGTAAAGTTGTCTTTAGGTGCCTGTACCTTTGCCTTGAAAAGTGGATTCTATATGACTTCTTGTTGAATCTGCAGAAAGAGTGAGGGTGGCATGAGGATGGCAGCATCTGACCTCTGTTAACAAAGGGAACGAGTCTCCATCAGTAACATCCTCAATACAAAACCAGTTCCCACAAGTTCAGATGTGGCCTCCATGCTCGCATGCCTGCTTCTCATTCCAGCATTCAATGGTATGGCTCTACTACTGGGTCCAAAATCAGTTGCATTGGCCACACAGATCTCATAGAAACCATACTTAGGTTACGGGTTTACTAGGGGAGTTAACAGGCTCCAATTCAGGTTGGTAACAGTATATAGTTTCTTAATCAGGACAGTTTCTGAAGGGTGCTTGGAAGCCCTTTGAACTTGAGCCTTGAAACTTAGGTCAGTATAAAAAGATTTTAGTCCTGCCAATGATGGTGTCTCTCCTCA